TAGTTGCAACAGAGACTATATGTGGCCCACAAAGCCTAAGATATTTTCTTTTTTTTTAAATTTTATTATGTTCTGTTAATCACCATACATTACATCATTAGTTTTTGATGTAGTGTTCCATGATTCTTTGTTTGCGTATAACACCCAGTGCTCCACTTAAGGTACTTTTTTTTTTTTTTGATACTTTCTATTTGACCTTTTATGGAAAAAATTTATGACCCCTTCCAAAACAATAAGAAACATATGTATTGTTCTCTGTCCTTGGTTTCTGACACAGAGCTCCTAAAGCCCTTGTAGTTAGGATGCCAGGAGCTACCCAGAATCTGTTCTTCTCATATGGATGGCAGAGTTGTAAGAAATCAAGCCAACCTCAGAAGTCCATTCCAGAGGTGACTTAAGGTGGCTCAGTCAGTTAAGTGTCTGCCTTTGTGATCTTGGTGTCCTGGGAATGAACCCCATGTCCAGCTGCCTGCTCAGTGGGGAGTCTGCTTCTCCCTCTCTGCCTGCCTCTCCCCGCACCCCGCTTGTGCATGCTCTCTCTCTCAAATAAATGGATGAAATCTTAAAAAAAAAAAAAAAAGCCCATTCCACTCCCCTCCCCTTACCTTATCTCTCCCTCCCTCCCTCTTTTATATTCTATCCCTGAGATAGAACCAATTTAATGTGTCTCTCTCTGTCAAATAAATAAATAAACTTTAAAAAAAAAAAACAATAAAATGGTAGACCTAAAACCAAACATATCAAAAATTACATTAAATACAAATCCTCTAAACACATTAATTAGAAGGTGGAAACTATGATATTGGATAAAAAATAAAATCCAATTATATGTTGTCCACAGGAAACCCATTTTAAAGATACTGCTATATTTAGGTAGATTAAAAGTAATAGGATGGAGGGATGCCTGAGTGGTTCAGTCGGTTAAGCATCCGACTTGATTTCAGCTCAGGTCATGATCTCAGGGTTATGAGACTGAACCCTGTGTTGGGCTTGCAGTGGGTGTGGAGCCTGCTTAAGATTCTCTCTCTCCCCACCCTAAATCAATCAATCATCAACCAACCAGTCTCTCCCTCTGGCCCTCCCCACCCAAAATAAACACATAAGGTGATAGGATGGAAAAAGATATAATAAGAAAAATGAATCAAAATAAAGAGTGGCTACATAAATATGAGACCAGGTAGACTTCAGAGCAAAAAAATATTAGCATAAAGGTCAGTTACATAATGATAAGAGAGTCAATTCATGAAGAAGACAGAATAATACATTTTAAACATGTATGCACCTACATGTAATTAACATTACATGTTAATTAGTTAATTAGTTGAATTTAAATTAAAAGCATAAAAAAATAAAACAAGTCTTTTAAATGTTCGTTATGAAGCTTAAACTGAGGGGCGCCTGGGTGGCTCAGTTGGTTAAGCGACTGCTTTCGGCTCAGGTCATGATCCTGGAGTCCCTGGATCGAGTCCCGCATCGGGCTCCCTGCTCGGCAGGGAGCCTG